GGCTGAGCTGGGCCACCCCACCCCACCCAGCCAGTCCCGGGTGGGCTCCTGGCCCCTCTCCCTCCATTCCCTGAGAGAAGGGGACAAACCAGGACCCCCAAATCCAGCCCTGAGCCCAGAGCAGAGTTCCCTACCCACCTGGTGTCCCTCTCCCGTTGGACACGACAGCAAGAGGCCCCAAAAGCCCTGTTTTCCTTTGATTCCCAGCCTCCTGCTTCCCATCAGCCAAACCCTCAAGCCACATCCTCTGCTGCTGCTTTGTCCCGTTCACCCGCTGCCCAATTAACACCTCATTAAAAACGCACATGCAGAGGCATTTCCTTCTGTTGTCCCCGGCCCACCTGCCCACCCTGGGGGCAGGGGACATCTGAGAAACACCAGCTGCTCCAGCTTTTCCCTGCGTTTGGTATTGATCCCTCCTTAACTGTCAGCAGCAGTTCGGGAAGGGATGGGGAGCTGGATGTGACTGACAACCAGATTTTGGGCTCTGTCCCAGGGAGAGCAAAGGATCCAACCCCCAGGGCTTTTTAGGTGCTGTTTTGAGACCTGGTTCAGTGACTGGAGCAGAAGGAAATCTAAAATATTGTCATTTAGTCTCCTGGACACAAGTCCTACCTTGGGAAAAAGCTGTTCAGGGATTAAAGCTCAGGCTCCATCCGAGAGGAGTAATCACCCTGATGGCAGCATTCTCAGTAGGAAGGCGATGAAAGACTTAAATCAATCATTCAAGTAGGTAATTAGATCCAATTAATCTGTGAGATGGGAAGGCAGAATGATTTCTGATTGAACCTTTCCCAAGGAATGTTTCCTTAGGCTGGAACACCCCAGGAATTCCTGCCACTGCTTCACGGACGAGGCAGGGAGCTGCCAGACGTTCTCTGGGATGATGGAAGGATTTTGTGAGCACAGCAGAAGGTTTTTTGGTTTGGAAAAGCTCTTCCCAGTTTGCAGAAGAGCCGCCATTCCCAGATTTTTAGGTTACAGATGCCCTTGGACACTAGAAAAGTGGTTGCTCCAGTCTTTTCCTCCTCGGATGGTGCAGAAACTGGGGCCTGGTGTCTGTTCTGCTGATCCCCCGAGGCCAGGTGGGGCTGTCAGATGGAGGATCTCATCCCTTTCCCTCTTCCCTCGCTCCAGAACTCGAGGAAAAAAGCCTGGGAAGGGCAACATCACCTTCCCAACGGAGATGCATCAGCCCCCAGCTGCAGATATCGGGGGCAGAGCGGTCGTGACCTGGAGCAACATCAGCCCTGGGGGTGTTTTCCAGTTGTCTCCTGTGTCCAAATCCCTGCTGGGTTTGTCATTCCAAAGAAGGAAAAAGGCCCAGCTCACAGTGAGGCAGCAGTTTTGGGGAGATCCTCAGGGAAGCACTTCCTCCAGCCATCCAAGGGGGAAACTTCTCCGGCCTTTTCTGCAGAGCTGCGGGGAAGGGGAAGGTCCACGTTCAGCTGGGCTTGAAGGAATCTGCCTGGAGAGCCAAGATCCTCCTGGGACCATCCTATCCCACATCCTGGAGCGACTCTGATGGAGGCACAGCCCCGCAGACAGGAAAAGCCAGTGAGGAAATCCCAGTGCTGGGGATGTTTGGGAAAGGAGAAAGTCCCTACTTAAAATCCCTGACCCAGGTCAACAAGGAGTGGCTTTGGCCTCGGGAGTCACGTCTCTCCAGGGAAACTCTTGACCACAAGGGTCACAGGAAAAGAGTCTTTGACCCCACAGCTGTTTTGGAGCTGCTTTGCACCAGATCCTGGAGCAAACTCTGCAACACTTGGAGTACTTCCACATCCCTGCTCCGGGGTTTTATCCTCCGCTCCTGAACCTTCAGTGTTCCAGCTTGTGGGTGGAGAAAGAAGAGGAATTTAGGAGATGAACCCATGGCTGTGAGCACCAGGGATGCTCCCAAAGCCATGAGGGATTGGGGGGTGCCCTTGTGCAGGCAGATCTGCTTCTCCAAGGAGCCTTCTGGGGACCTCTTCCCGCAAACCTGCTCCCACCAACGCTCCAAGCTCACGGAACCGCAGGATCGCTGAGCTTGGAAAAGCCCTCTGAGACCATCAAGTGCACCCTGTGCCCACCTTGTCTCCCAGTGCCACATCCAGTTGTTCCTTGGGCACCTCCAGGGATGTGATTCCACCCCCACAAACCCTCCCAGAGCCCAGTTTGGTTGTCACCAACCCCGGGACTTCCTTTGCTCTTTTGGATCCCCTTCAGCACCTGAGGATTGGCAGAGTGGATCGACCTGAGGAAGAGCTTTTTTGGAGGAGCTTTGTTTTCCAGCTGGATCAGCTTCCTGATCTGCTTTGTCCTGCAGCCACAAACCCAAGGGAGAGAGCCCAGGGAAAGGAGCAGGGCCGGGAGAGGGGGGTGTTGGTGGGAGAGGGGCCACGTCAAGCGTTACCTGCAGAGCTGCTGAGCTCTGGAAAATCCCAGCTGATTTATCCCACTGCTCCCACTTCACATCAAGGGCTGTGTGTGCCCACTCAGTGCTTAAATCCCAAAAATTCCCACCTGGAATAGCTCCTGCCCCCACCTGGCTGTGGCTACAGCACAGTGTGGTGATTTATCCGCTCCATACCAGCCCCTGGTGGGTGTTTTTGGAAGCAGAGAGGGGGATTTGGGACACCTTGATATCTTTTTATGGATTTTTTTTAGAGAGAGGGAAATGTCACTTGAGGTGGCCTGGAAGTTTGGTAGGGCTGGAATTCCCGGGAGCTGAGGCACAGGGATGTACAACACCTCCCCTCCCACCTCCAAGGAGGGTCTGTGGCAGAGCCAAGCTTTGGATTCCAAGCTTTGGATTCTCCACTCCTGCCTCCAAGCCACAACCCACCTTTCCTTTTGTCCTGCAATTCGAGGTGAGGCTGCAAAGACTCCAATCCAGGTGGGCAGGAGCAGATGAAAATCCTTGGACAAATCTCACCACTGGAGTGGAATTCGACCCTCCCGTCATCTCTCTCTCTTTAAAGCCTCCAGATTTCTTTGGGAATGAGGAAAACACATTTGGAGCTTCCTGCAGTGCAGTGGGGACCTGGGTTTTCCTCCTCCTTTGCCCATCACGTCCCTGAGGGCGTTTCAGGAGCCTGTTGTTTTCCTGGGATAAACTGGCAGGTTCCCATCAGCTCAGTCAGGGCGTTGATTTGTCATGGATTCATGGATTTCTCCAACTTTCCTTAATATTCATTTAATGGACATTTTAGAAAGGGAAAAATGCAGATTTCAGAGGTATCCAGGAGTCTTAGGGGATGGATCAGCACCTTCATTTTGGAATCTGCTGTTCCCTCTCTCACCTTGCAGCTCCATCCCTAAAGGATGGAAATCGCAGGATATAAATGAATTAATCAAAGTGAGGAGGACACACTGTGAGACCAGAACAAGGAGGGGAAAGGAGATTTTTTTTTTTTTGAGGAGAGGGTTTCTGTGGGTCATCCTTCCAGCACAGACCTGGATTTGGGAGGGAGAGACACCCCAAAAGCGGCTCTTGGAGTGGGAAATGTGATCCCACTTGTACAGGGACTCCAGGAGCTCTTCCCAGTGCCTCGAGTCACATTCCAGCCCCCTCTGGAAGCAGGAAGGCCTTGATCTCCTGATCTTCCCCTTGGAATTGTCCTTTTCCCTCTGCTCACTTTTCCTGTCTCCTTTCAACATGGCTGATGGGGGGTTTTGGGGAAGAGATGTTCCCTGGCTTTCTTGGGTTTCATTTCCATTGGAAATGTCCTGGAATATCCACTGTCAAGTGGAGCATTCAAATGTTTGCTACCACAGATCAGCAGGATCTTGTTCAGTGGAGAGAAATCAGCTGTGATTTCATCACCTAATTTGATTAATCTAGTGTATTGATTTATCTAGTTTAATTTATTTATCTCATTTAATTTATTTAGTTTAATTGATTTATCTAAATTAATTTATTAATTTCATTTAATTGATTTATCTAATGTAATTGACTGATCTAAATTAATTGATTTATTTAAATTAATTGATTTCTTTAAATTAATTGATTTATCTCATTTAATTGATTGATCTCATTTAATTAGGCTGGTTGTAAGTCTTGAATCAGGGACTAAAGAACACAAGGGGAAACAGTAGATGTGCCAAGAATTTCTGGGTAGTGGGAACATGTCAGGGTTGAGAGTCCAAAGGAAAGTCCCAGCAAAGAAAAAGGCAAAAAAAAAAATCATAAAATCCAAAATTTTTTCAGCAATAACGACCCACTTTTTATGTGTAAAAACCCCAAATTTCCTTTTTTTTTTTCCACTTTAAAAATGTTAACTTTTAGCTTTAGGGCAGTTCAGTTGAGGTTGAGCTTCCTCTTCTCCTCCTGGGACAGCTCCCAGGGATTATTTGTCCCCAGGGGTGTCCCAGCCACGGATCCTGATCCATGAGGTGACCTGGACGGCCCCACATGGAGCTGAGCCAATCCAATGAGATTCCACCTGGGATTTGTGCGTCATCTGCTGCCTCTGGAAACCCCAAATATTCAAACAAAACAAAAAAGCAACACCCCAAACTCCTCCCCCCGCCAGCATTTGGTTTCCTTCTTTTCTCACCCCCCCACCCCCTTTTTTTTTTTCCTTAAATTTAGCCTCTGGATTAAAGCCTTTGGGGAAGAACAGGAAACCCTAAAATGTCTCTTCTCCCTCGACAAATATTCCATTTGAGCCGTGCTGGGCAGGCTGATGCCACCCCAAAGTTAAAACCTGGAAGGGGATGAAGCGAAATTCCCACAATTCCCACCCAGAAACCAGCGAGACCTGAGGGGTGGATGTTTTATTTTTTTTTCACCCGTGAATTAAAAGCTTGTCTTTGCCTGGTTTGGAAGAGGAGATGGGACGTTTTGTGGGGGAAGAGGGAGATTTTTCCACTGTTATTAGCGAAGGCCTCGCTCTGGGCAGGAGGTGTTGCAGTTTGCCTCAAGATGGCTTGGTTTTTTTTTTTTAATAAATGAGCTTATTTGCGAGGGAAAGGGGTTATTTTAATGGCAGATTTGTGTGTGTTTACCCAAAATGGGTTGGTTGGGCATCTCAGTTTGTGCCCATTGTCCCTAAAGGACCCGGCCCCAGTGCCAGGGCTCTCTCTGGGGTGCAGAACCCCACGATCCCTCAGCATTTCAGAGCACGAGGTTGGGACCAACATTCTCCCCCTCACTGTTTCTTCTCCCCAGTGCTCATTTCAAAGCTTCCCCCAATCAATTTATTTCATCCCAAAGAATTGGGTTTATTTTCAGCGAGACCACATCGAGGCCTAAATTAAATCTTTATTTACTTTCCCGTCTGCAGGAGAAGACCTCAAAAAACAATAACATTTTGTCCTAATCCGAATTTTGTGGGGCGCTGCGGGTTTGTTTGTTTGTCTTGTTTCCTTTTTTCTTTTGAACCTTCCAGAGGACTGAAAAACAAATAAACTGGGTTTGCACAGTCTTGAGTTATCCTGCAACATGAGGAGCCAAAGGGAAGGGCTTTCCCGCTTCTCATGAATAGGAAATGTAATATTATTCTTCTCCTGTTGCGACTGGAAGCTGGGAAAACACAATAAATTTCGATTTCTTTTTTATCTCAGGGATGCTGAGGAATTTTAGCTCCTCTCCCCTCGCTCCCAGTTGGTGCCTTGGAAGAAAGGCAGGGATTAATCCGGTCCTTTCCATCCACATTCTAATTTAAAGATAAGAAATCAGCTGTTGGGCCACGAGTTTTCCTGCTGTTTTTCACATCCTAAAATCCAAGTAAAGGGAATTATTGGCGGCAGCTCCAAACCAGGCCAAGCAATCCTGGATTGTTCTTTAACCTTGGGGAAGGTTCCTGCTAAAGGATGAGTGGCTGTTTGGTCAAAAGGTGGGGAAGGCTTTGATATTAATGAAACCTGCTGAGATCTTGGCCCTGCTGCTGGTTCTGTTCCTGGGGGAGCTCTGGTTTGTTTGGATTCACAGGGAATCCTCTGCCAGGAGCTGCTGACAAACCCCTCCCTGAACTCCAGCACAGGGAAGATGCTGCTCTGGAAGCAGAGTTGGGGCAGATCCACCAGGTTGAGCATTTGAATTCCCACCCTCAGGTGGGTGCAGCTGGATTGGAAGGGGTGGCTGCAGCTCACCAAGGCTAAAGCAAAGGAGGTCACTGAGGACACAGAGCTGTGGGAGCTGAGAGCTGGGCAGCCCTTCAGAAGGACCTCAAAGGGCTGCTCCAAGCCCTGTCCAACCTGCCCTTGGACACTTCCAGGGATCCAGGGGCAGCCACAGCTGCTCTGGGAAATCCATTCCAGTCCCTCCCCATCCTCATAGTAAATTAATTCTTAATATCTAGTTTAAATCCATCCTCTTTCAGTTAAAGCCATTCCCCCATATCCTGTCCCTCCATCCCTTGTCCCCAGTCCCTCTCCAGCTCTCCTGGAGCCCCTTTAGGCCCTGCAAGGGGCTCTCAGCTCTCCCTGCAGCCTTCTCTTCTCCAGGGGAACCCCCCCAGCTCTCCCAGCCTGGCTCCAGAGCAGAGGGGCTCCAGCCCTGGCAGCATCTCCATGACCTCCTCTGGATTTACTCCAGCAACTCCACGTCCTCCTGCTGCTGTTCCCAGGGCTGGATGCCATGTGTCCTCCCAAAATAAAACCTGGGAGAACCTGCACCTTCTGGAGCCAAACACTAAGAAGAAAATGGCAATGATTTCCCAGGGATTTCCCAGGGATTTCTCGATGATTTCCCAGTGATTTCTCAATCTCTCCATGATTTCTCAGTGATTTCCCAGTGATTTCTCAATCTCTCCATGATTTCCCAGTGAGTTCCCAGTGATTTCTCAATGATTTCCCAGGGATTTCCCAGTGATTTCCCAGTGATTTCTCAGTGATTTCCCAGCAATTTCTCAATGATTTCCTAGTGATTTCTCAGTGATTTCTCAGTGATTTCCCAATGATTTCCCATCAATTTCTCAATTATTTTCCAGTGATTTCTCAGTGATTTCTCAATGATTTCTCAGTGATTTCTCAATGATTTCCCAGTGATTTCTCAATGATTTCCCAGTGATTTCCCAATGATTTCCCCGTGATTTCTCAATGATTTCTCAAACTGAGCAGCAGCACTGAGAGCTTTTCCCAGAGAGAGCCTTCTCCAAGCAGCGGGACATCCGTGTCACCTGTGCAGGGTGCAGTGACTCCTCCTTGTCTCTGTTCTCTCCCCCAGATGGTTTTTGTCTCCCTGAGTGGGATGGCATCGTCTGCTGGCCCGAAGGTGTCCCGGGCAAGGTGGTGGCCATGCCCTGCCCCGAGTACATCTACGACTTCAACCACAAAGGTGGGTGTTGCCCTCAGGAAGGAGATTCCTGGCAGTCACAACATTCCAAACCACCTTTAGCATCCCTTTGTCATCACATGGTGACTCCCTTCCCAGCAGGAGCAAACCCAGGGAAAAGGAAGGAAAGAAACGTGCCCCACACAGTTTGTAACCCTCTAAACACTATTAGTAGTTTAGATATTAATATTAGTTTTAAATATTAATATTCGGTTTAGATACTAATATTAGTTTTAGATACTAATATTTGTTTTATATCTTAATATTTTTATATCTTAATATTTGTTTTATATCTTAATATTTGTTTTATATATTAATATTAGTTCGATATTAATCTAGTGGTTTAGATATTAATAATTAATAATAACACAATAAACACAGCCTTCAGATTAAGTCCCAGACTCCCAGAAAATGCTGAGTTGGGAGAGACCCACAAGGACCATCGAGTCCAACTCTTATGTTGGGTTTTCTCTTGCTACACAGAGTTTGTGGCATCAAACCAATCCAGGCTTGTAAATCCACAAAACTTGACCTCTGCGACCACTTGGAGCCTGACAGAGCTCAAGTCTTTGGTTTTTTTTTTTAATTTTTATTTTTTTATGTGATTGATTTTGATTTTTTGATTTGATTGATTCTGATTTTTTCATTTGATTGATTTTGATTTTTATTTGATTTATTCTGATTTTTTTATTTGATTTATTCTGATTTTTTGATTTGATTGATGCTGATTTTTTATTTGGTTGACCAACCTGGATTTGTTTGACACCACGAACTCTGGGTAACAAGAGAAACCCCAAGATATTCTTCCCATTTATATTCCTTGTTAATCCCAGTCCCTGCTCCCTGCCCAGAGCCCTCTCTGGGTGTCTGAGAGCAGCAGGAGCAAGCAGAAGGTGGGAATTCTTCCCTATCTCCCTTCCCCTCAGGCAGCTCCTTTCTGGGCTCTCCGATGGTGCCGTGGAGTCTGGGAATGTTTGGAGAAGGGCTGGAACACATTTGTCCCTCAGGGAATTTTCAGAGCTAAAGGAGTCTCTATTCTCCCCAAGGAGGGAAAAATTAGGGAGTTAAACCTGTCTGTTCTGAGCAGAGCACTGGTGCTGCTTTCAGAAAACAAGGAATGATAGTCCCAGGAATCCTGGTTGCACATCCTGGCTTCTCTGTGAGGGACTGGGAGCTCACCCAGTTCACCTCTCACAGAGCCTGCCCGTGCTCTCCACCTGAGAGACCAGGAGGAACAAGCTGCCATGGAATCATTGGATAGTTTAGGTTGGAAAAGCCCCCTAAGATCAGAGTCCAACATCCCCCAGCACTGCCAAGGCCACCCCTGACCATGTCCCCAAGTGCCACATCCACAGGGCTTTGAAATCCCTCCAGGGGTGGGGACTCCACCCTTGCCCTAGGCAGCTGTGCCAGGGCTGGGCAGCCCTTTCCAAGAGGGAATTTTTCCGATCCAATCCTTCCCTAGTGGAATCCACCCCTTTTTCCCTCGATATTCCAACATGGCATGGACTCCTCACCTCACTGAGGCCCAAGGGCAAGTCAGGTGGTGTGGGAGTCAGATGAAGGGCCTCACATGATGGAAACAAAGAACCCCAGGCTAGTTTGGGATGGAAGGGACCTTAAGGATCATCCAGTCCACCCCAGTGGACACCTTCCACTATCCCAGGTTGCTCCAACCTGGCCTTGGACACTTCCAGGGATCCAGGGGCAACCACAGCTTCTCTGGGCAACCTGTGCCAGGGCCTCCCCACCCTCCCAGCCAGGAATTTCTTCCTAATATCCAACCTAAATCTACTCCCTGTCAGTTTGAAGCCATTCCCAGTTTTGTTGTCAGTCCAGACCCTTGTAAAAGTCCCTCTCCATCTTCCTGGAGGGTTCCCAACAACTCTCCCTCCATAGTCCCGGGACAGACAGGTTTGTTGAGTGGTTTCATCCCTGTTTCCTGTGAAGGGATTTTAACACACAGCTGATGCCCTGGTTCCCACACAGACCTCTGAGCATGGATATTCCCATCTGCCAGCTGTATCCCGGGAGGAAACTTTGCTTCCTCTTCTTCCTCCTTCCCCGCGAGAAAAGCAACCAGAGAAAAACCTCCCTTGATTTGACCTGAGCCTGTAAAGGAAGAGCAGCATCAATAAATCCCCCTTTATTTCCCAGAGAGAACTGCAATTAATTCTGAGGATGATTTGGGGCTTTCAAAGCTTCTCTCCTCGATTTTTAGACCCAATATCTGACCCTAAACTAAGAGTAGGTTATTAAAATGCTCTGTGGGGTTTCTCAGCCAGAAGGTCGATAAGGTTTCCGTGGAGATGGGAATTGGTTCTTGCAGCTGAGCTTGGAAGCGGGCAGGACACACCAGGACTGGTGGGATCCACCCCTGGAGTGGTTTTCTCCTGTTTTTCCCGGGCTCTGGGCCCTGACTCTGTGTGTCCCCTCTCTCCACAGGCCACGCTTACCGTCGGTGTGACCTGAACGGGAGCTGGGAGCTGGTGCCAGGCAACAACAGGACCTGGGCAAACTACAGCGAGTGTGCCAAGTTCCTCACCAACGAGACGAGGGAGAGGGTAGGCAATTCCATTCTGCCCTCACCCAGAATTCCTCACTTGTCTCCCTTCAAACCCTCCATGAGCTCCAGCTCATCGGCCTCCTCTCGGAAACCAAGCCCGAGCTCGCCAAAGCCACGGCGGGTTTTGGTGGGGAATTAACTTGAACTTGGAATTGTCCTCAAAGCCAGAAAGGTTCCAGCTGCCACCCCACACCCCCTTTCTAAAGGGATTTTGGGGGAAACGAAGCAGTCTCAGGGAGGCTCAGAAGTGGTTGGAGGTTGTTCCCTGCCGCTGAGATTCCCCCCGCCCCACCAGGAAATAATTTTGCTACCAGGTTGTTATCAAAAATTCCGATGTTTCTGTGGCTGGCTGTGGTGAGGGATGTCCAAACACAGAGGAGAAGGATGTGTCAGTCAAACCAGAGTCAAACCAGTCAAACCCGGGCTGGGAGAGCTGGGAAGTTCCCCTGGAGAAGAGAAGGCTCCAGGGAGAGCTGAGAGCCCCTTGCAGGGCCTAAAGGGGCTCCAGGAGAGCTGGAGAGGGACTGGGGACAAGGGATGGAGGGACAGGACACAGGGAATGGCTTCCCAGTGCCAGAGGGCAGGGTTAGATGGGATATTGGGAAGGAATGTTGGCTGGGAGGGTGGGGAGGGACTGGAATGGATTTGCCAGAGAAGCTGTGGCTGCCCCTGGATCCCTGGAAGTGTCCAAGGCCAAGTTGGATGGGGCTTGGAGCAACCTGGGCCAGTGGAAGGTGTCCCTGCCCATGGCAGGGGGTGGAACGGGATGCTCATTAAAGTCCCTTCCTCAATCCCAAACCAATCTGGGATTCCATGATCTTGAATTAATAATGGTGTAGGCACAGTTTTGAAACAGGGCCACCAGTCCAAAGGTGAAAAGAGACTAAAAGCACATGGAGAGGGTTTGATGGGCTCCTGGAAAAAAAAAACTAGAAAGAAAGAACTCTGGGCCTTATTTTTCCACAAATTTGGGTATTTGGCGAAGTAGGAGCTGGAAAAATTTCCTACCTCTCTGTATTGCTGAAAATCTCTGAAGCCCAGAAGTGGCTGCTCCGTGCTGATGTGCCAGCAGAGCCGGCAGAGGAGTCACCTGAGAGGATGTGACCTCCTCTCGTGGCAGGGAGCGACATTCCTGCCCACGCTTCCCGCTCTGTGCCTGGCACCGGCCGGGAATGCAGCCCGAACCTCCGGCTCTCCGGTGGCACTTGGAAGTTGTCCCCTTGGCCACGGGCACTGCTGATGTGCAGGCAGGGCTCTGTGCAGGCAGCTGGAGATAAAGATCTGTGGAGCAGGACGGGGATGATGCACAGGCCCCGTCGTCGGGAGGATGTTCCTCGTTTGAAATCCAACCACAGCGTGCCCGGGGTTGGGTTTTGGTTGGGGTTTTTTTTTGTTTTCCCTCAAGAGTGAAGCAACGCACGAACGAAGCTGTTTAGTGAGGAAATAAGTTATTTGAGGACCTGCACGTCTTGTGTCATGTGGTCAAAGAACAGGCAGGGTTTTATACACAGGGTTCTGCTCCAGCTAATTGTGTCATCTCAGGGTTGGATGGTGTTCACTTCTAGAACAAGTTTGGGCTCATCTTTTCCCAGTTCATCCAGTGGGAAGAATGGTTTTAGCCCCAGAGTGTTCTGGGAAGGTTCTGGAGTCACTGAGTGTCTTGATCACACTGAGCACTTCACAAAGTTGTACAATTTCGTGACCTCTCTGAGGTCATTGTCTCTGTCCCACCTCCCTCAGCCCTGCCCTGAGGTGGGAATCACCTGTTGTAGACAGAAGAAACGGCATCAGTGAGTCAGGAGAGGGTCAGGTTGGATCTCAGGGAAAGGTTCTTCCCCCAGAGGGTGGTTGGGCACTGATCAGGCTCCCCAGGGCAGTGGGCACAGCCCCAAGGCTGCCAGAGCTCCAGGAGGGTTTGGACAACGCTTGGAGGGAGAGGATGAGATTATTGGGGTGTCTGTGCAGGGCCAGGAGTTGGACTGGATGATCCTTGGGGGTCCCTCCCAACTCAGGATATTCTGTGATTCTCTGACTTGTCCAGCTGAGCCAGTGTCCAAGATTTCCCCCAGGGAAAGGACATCCTGTCTTTTTAACTTCCCACGCTGGCAACTAGGACTTGTCAAGGTGACTTGGTAGGGGAAGGTGGAAAGAAGAAGAGAGGTGACCATTTGTTACCAGCACAAGATAAAAATAGAGACCTTCTACCCCAGGCTGGTAAAAAAGGCTGAAAGCAAAGTCTCATGTCCTGAGTTTCAGGTACTTTGTGTCCCCTGAGGTGGTCACAGCCCAGAGGACTTGGACTGTGCTTCCTAACAAAGGGAGTTTAGATAAGGTGTAACAACCCAGGAGACTTCATTTTTCCTCCCAACCTCTTGCTTGGAAAATTCCTGCTCCTCATGAGCTCTTCCTTTAGGAGCTGTTTTAATAAACCATCCCCAAATCCTCCTCCTCATGGTTCACCTTCTGCCACGAAGATGCTGTGGGATTTTACCATCCCCAAATCACCATCCTCCTCAATATTCACCTTTTGCCAGGAATTTCCTGGTTTAGCTACACAGGGGCGAATTGAATGATATTTAATATTTAATTAGATTTAATATTTAATTAGAGCATCACCATTGCTCAGATTAACTGGACAAGGTGCTCTTGCTTAAGTGGTGCTTCCCCAGGGCAAAGAACACCGGAAAAAAATGGAGGTTTTCCTTAGCTTTGGGACTTGGGCTTGATTAACAAATGCTTTTCAACAACATATTATTATTATTATTATTATTATTATTATTATTATTATTATTATTATTA